AGAGTCTAAAAAAACCAAGTCCCACAAAATGGACAGTGAGAAATATACCACCGCCCCTAAACTTTAGCTCGGTGTGACACAACATTTTCAATATTAATTTACTTTTATATAAGTAGCTCTTCGGCCAAGTTTTTTTATGTAAATAAATATCAAATATAGCCAGGCTAATTACAGTCATTAGCACTCCATGGTTGGGCTTATATCATTATTGGGAGTTATCGAAAGTCACTATGGGGTATCCCACACCCCATTGTGCTGTCATACGCAACTGTTCTTTGGATTTCTGATTTATATTTGTTAATTAGTGTTATTTTTAATTCAGACAGAAATGTACAGAAACTATTTTTTTTTTAGTATGGCAACTACCAAAAAAAATGTATTTTTCTCCTGAAGAAATCCATAAATTGTTATGAGATTTAAAAGATGAAGAAAACATGCATGGAGCATATTAAATTGCACAGCTTTTCACATTGCACATTTGATCAAAGATTGCACAGCAAAGTTTGATCAAATGTGTCATGTGTGTTAACAGCAAGAAAAAAAAGGATGCTGTCTTTCCGATTATTCTTAGGAATGTCGAACCATACTGGTTCAAACAGCGTGACATTTTTTAACTTAGTTAACTGGGAAAAGAAGATGAAATGGAGGAATTATTAATTTGGATTAGACTATTCGTTACTACAGCCCTATTTGAAAAGAAGACTGAAAGTGGAGACATTCAAACGAACGGCGTGTTACAATATAAAAGAAATTTTGGGAATTTAAAAATAAACGACTACTGTTAGAAAAACAAGTCAAATATTTGTTTTGCACAAGAGGGGAAGATATGAAGACAAAATGGTTTGCCAGCAATGTATGAGACCTATCTGCAATGAACATAGGGCGACAGTTTGCTTGAATTGTGAGTTGAATGGTCACATAAATGGGCCCTACTATAGGTTTTCATTATCTTTTTAAGTAAAAAAAAAAAATTGTTCCCTTTATTATGTACATATTTTACATCCCAAATGTATATATATATTTAATTGATATAAACTTAATGTATTTTCAATAGAAAAATATTGATCCTTTTTTGATTTTTCAGCGATGTAAATGTAAATGTTTACTTTGTGTTAGCATATCAAATATATTCTCTTAGGCTACTTTATTCATTTATTCTTTTGTTTTCCTGTTTGATTAGCTGATTTCAGAAAAGCGTCAGAATTAGTCGACTTATTTAAGTGTGTCGTTTTAGGGTTAAAAATGCACTTCAAAAATTTCGTAATAGCCCAACACTACCAGAAAATAATTTATATTTAAAGTATCCGCATACTAGACTGAAACGACAAGAAACTGCGCGACGTTTCCGACTGCTCCAACACTTACTAGACAAACGTTCTAAAATTTCAATTAATTGCAAAAGACTCATCTACTTAAGCATAATAAGACCTATATGGACACACGGAGTTGAGCTTTGGAGTTCTACCAAACCATTGAATTCCTATCGTATCCAATCCTTACAATCCAAAATCGTTCGTAAAATCCTTAATGCTCCATATTTTGTCACAAATAAAACTATTCATAAAGACCTTAATGTTCCATATGTCGCTGAATTAGCCCGAGCCAGATACCTATCCTTTCATGATAAACTCCAATCCCATCCGAATCCACTTGTTTCCAACCTTGCTTCTTCCTCGATTCCTGATAATCCCCCTAGGCATCTGAAAAGAAGATGGCCTCGTGATCTTCTCACTTAGAATTAAATAGGGAGTGCTACCACTGGGCAGTATCTCTTCAGTTCATACCATTATTTCTAATGTGTGCGTTTTTACTAGCTGTATTGTTTATACAGTTGTAAATTTCAATCAATAAATAAAAAAAAAAATATTTAAAGTACAGTGGTAAGTGAAAGTTGTGTCCAAATATGACCGCATCATATTATTTTTTAAACTTAAAAGCTATTGGTATTAGTTTTAAATTTTATTGACTCCTTTGGTGAAATGATTAACCACACTTTTCGCAGTTTAAATTAGTTCTCCATAACAGAAATCTCCAAACTTTTGGAGTTTTATAAAAATTCATTTCTGACTTTTCCGTTCTGAGACGAGGGCAAAAAGTTCGTTTTTCCAAGTTTAATATGATATCAATGCTAGATCAATTTATCGACAAATGGTGGAGAAAACTTCTATAAATAGCGAATTAGAGATTTTTGTTTTTAGTAATAGCAGATAATAGTTAAAATTTGTTAGAATACATTATTCCAGGCGCTGAGGTAGAAATTTTGATTTATGTTTTCGGTCATGTTGAATAGAGAGGGGATGACCAAAGAGAAAGACCAAAATTAGGCCCATGTTCGAGGAGCCAGACTATGAAAGAAAATTTATTTCCTGTTTTTCAGGCGTGAATAATAGTTATCCCTCCTCTTGGGGCCGTGACGGGTAACTGTATAACCTTAACCACCTTGAGTCTTGCGGCGCTGCACACTGCGGCGAGCGCAAGGTTTCTTCGACATCGGCTCTAACTTAATCGAAAACTGCAGTATATTACTCAAATTTTGTCTGTTTACGTTTTTGAGGGTATTGAATTTGAACTCTATTAATTTTTTTTTTATCTTGGTAATACTTTTTCTATTCAAAAGTTATGTGAGCACATATGAAATATTACTGTTGTACACAGGCGAATCTACCGGGGGGGGGGGGGGTGAGGGGGGAGGCTTTCGATCGAGGCCCCACACAAAATAGTAAAATATAAACATGTTTTATAGAAAAAAATATTAAAAACTATCTCTTAAAGTATTATTGTTCCTGTAATTACATTTAATAGGACTTCAAGAACCATGTAAACACTATTTCATATAGGAAGTTAATTTCTTTATTTATTTTTTCAAATTAATTATCGTTTTATATAAATGAAAAAAAAAAATCTTTTGGGCTGAAACCCCCCAAAATTAAATCCTGGATCCGCTAGTGCTGTTGTACCACTATAATCTTCTAGTATATATATATTGGGGGGGGGCTTATATATATATAACTTTTTGCTTCCTGTGATATTGAACATTTCATACCTAAACTTGGTATGATGAAATCGAAATCAGTTAACAGATTTTTAAATATGTCTCTGCTATTATGAATCATTGACTAGATAGATATATAGGAACAAGAAAAGCTCAATCTGTCAACTGATAAACTTACTCAATTTATTTCTTTGATTATCAAAAGTAAAATATTTTATTTATTCAAATTTTAGCAATAGAGTGCTAGTTTCCGATTTGGCCGAATCCAGATACCTATCCTTCCATAATAAACTTCATAACTATCCGAATGCTCTTGTTTCTAACCTTGCTTCCTCTTCGATTCCTGATAACCCTCCGAGGCGTCTGAAAATAAGATGGCCTCGTGATCTCCATGTAGACAAATTATTAGATTACTACCATTGGGTAGTTTCTCAACAAGCGTGTTTCATGTAATAATATTTCTCTGTACAAATTTACTTGATGTATTCATACTAATACAGTTGTAAATATCATAATAAAAGTTTAAAAAAAAAAAAAAAAAAAAAAATTAGCAATATTTTGGAACGTGATAAGACAGTTTTATTTTAATTTTAATTCTTAAAACAAATATTTTATGAACAAAGTTTTTTTTTTTTGCTAAATAATAAGTGTTTCCTGCAAAATAATTATTTCATGAGTATTTCACATAAAATAAATATTGTAAAAATATTCACGGTAGATACCAATAGATTGTTTAAAATTCATGTCTAGTAGTTTGTATTGTAAACATTACGTTGTTCAGATATTTTATAATTTATTATTACCTATTTCATAACGACATATTATACTAAAGTATAAATACATAAAGTTAGACGTATTTAATAATAAAGAACATTTTTGTATTTATTTTTATTTTTTAAAACTTAGCCAATTAACTCGTGATATGTTTATAATTAGGTCATTATAGACAATTAGATGTTATTTAGTCAAAAAATGGGTCGACGGTGACTCAAATACGCCAGTAAAAAAATAAAAAGTAATAGTAGTCACTCTAAATTCTAAGTTGTCGCGTGTTGAATCCTTAATAACTTCGGGGGTGGCCGGTTGGGGCAAGGTCTAAAAATTGTTTTTAGAATTTCAAACCTTTGTTAACAATAGGGTCTATCTAGTTTTCCGGGCTATTTGCGAAATGGACCAAAATTGCTTGCGATTGTTTGAAACGTCGTAACAACCATGTTTATTTATAAACATGGTTATAACGATGTTTCAGCTGTCTTAGGATTCACTAAAAGTACCCAATTCTGCCCAGCACATACCATTAGGTTTGAATAAAAATGGCAAACCAGCTCTAAATACAAAAATTATGGTTTTCATTTCTTCTCCTATTATCTCACATCAGGGCATTGTTGATGCGATAATTAAGTTAAACATTGCTTGACATGACATGAAACGATATTAGTTTGTCACTAATGTAGTCAAACTTCCAAATTTTAACTTCCCTCCCCTAATGTCCAACAGCAGTGTTAGATAACTCCAGTGTGCGCCGGATTGAATCTGGCCTGAGAAGATTGAAATATATTTCAATTGAAATATATAGAAGATTCCTCCCTTCATATCCCGGAAATAGCCAAGTATGGAGTAAAAAAAAATAACTCCTCGAACAAGCCTCTATAAAACGGATGAGGAAAACTTTAGGGGAGAGAGGGAGGGGGACAAGATTGACGTTATTATATAACCATTGTTTTAAAAAACAGCAATTCCTTAACAAATACTAAACAAAAATCTCTTGATGGTTTGTAGCGATACAGCTAATATTTCTGTGCTCGTTATTTAAATCTGAGATATTCTTATGTATCAATGTTCCTTTATATTTTTAATAATTAAAATTGATAAAGAATTGTAAAGAATATTCAATAGATATTCAGTCGTATTGATTAAAACACTGTTAACGTTTAAAAAAAAGTGTATATATTCCGATCTGTGTGAAAAACATTAGAGAAGTAGATGAAAAAAAAAAAACGGGACTTACCCAGACCACCAACTCTTTGGCTGGGAAATGCCGAAAATGTTGGGTAAATTGTCGAAGATGCTACGAACAGGAACAAGATCAAATGGATCTTCATCACTGTCGTCATCATCATCATCATCATCATTTGCTACAGGTTTCTTGGTCGTCTCCTCTTTGGTGTTTTCTGTAAAAAGTAATGTCTTTATTAATATTCGCTTTAAATATTATTTTATTATATAAATTATAAATATTACGTGGACTATTTGAACTTTAGCTTAAGATATCACTTAGCCTCCTCAGGGAAGACGTGATGTCCGAGCACGTTGATGTAAGGGTTCCAGAGTGTCCGGTTCTGAACGTTGTGGGTTCGATTCCCAACTGGGTAAGTTAATTTTAATTTATAGGCGGCTCCAAAAAATGAATCCTGGCCCTCCCATTCTGGTAAGTACTCGGCGGCAACAGAAAGGCAGCTGTCAGGAGTTGGCAAAAAGTACCCTCAGGGATCATGATAGACAACATAATAAGCACTTTGGATACAATATCTGGAATAAATATCGTTCTATTCGCCGATGATTGGGTTATCAGGACAACACACAGCAACGATAAAGCTTTATGAATTTGTCTATAACAGGTTTGAGAAAGTTTAAAGAATGAGCACATTCCAATAAAATGTGGATAGTGAAAAGACTATATTGTAGCTGTTCACAATTACAAAGAAAATACCAAACGTTTGCCTAATGCATCAAGGCGAAAAATCGACGTAAACACAGGTAATATACTAAAGAGTAAAGCTAAATTGGAATAAACACATTTAAAATCAAATAAATCAAGCTAGGTTACTGAAAACATAGAAGATATAAAATGGACAACTGTCCAGAATATTCTGAAGTCAACTTGGAAGGCCTACTCGCAACCAGTTATGGAATTCAAGATGGAATTAATGCGGTATAGAATAATCATGCTTTCAGAGTAATAACAGAAACACCAAAAAGCACAACAGGATCTCTCAAAAATCATTAAAAAAAATTACGAAAACTCTTTATTAAAAAATATTTGGAAGAGATGTGCAGGTTACATGGTTTTCTTTTGACAGGAATATACGAAGCTCCATGGAATATACTTTTGTTTTCAGGACTTGATACATGAGTCTGTTGTCCTACAGTAGGGGTTCAGTCCAGAAGTCTGCTTGGCCATTAGGATGCCATTTCCTTCCATTTCCTTCAGCGCTTGAGCCTGATGATGGCGTAACCGGATGAGGCCTGGTCGGAATTCCGAAATATAATTCCTTAATTTAATCAAATCAATAAAGCTTCCTATTTATTTATTTCGGCGTTAAAATGGAGTGGATCAGTGTGTGGGATGTGGGGCAGAACATCAACGGTACAAACCATATTATGTCGCAACATTCTCAAAATATGTAATGGTAAATTGTAATTAAGTTATTCTCACAATTAATTCGTTCATGATTAAGAAGTGACATAAATGCATGCAACGAATTTACCAAAATTCGGTCAAATATCAATGGAAATATTTTTCTAGTTGATTAGATCCTCGTCTATATTTATCATAGGCAGTTTAGACAAGAAAAACATGCAAGAGTGAAACTGTTGACTGTTGTCCAACTAAGGAAATCACTAATTGAAGATAATGAAGGCGACCTTGTTAGATTGTTACCTTGTGGCATTGAAACTGTCATCCAGGTGTCTCAAAATCTTCTACACTTATTAATTACATAATCCAAGAGCTAAGAGATGAACTTAGCCAATTATACAACTCGTTGTAAAATAAATATTAGAACATTGTACAAGTGAAAATTATCAAAATTTATAATAAAAATAATCTAATTAAAGTAAAAGATAAAACCGAAGAACGTATGTAAGTTCATCTATAACTTAGAATACCTTGACGTACTATAAGTTAAGATGTTGCTGTTTTTGTCAATTCGTAATAAAAATTAATCTAAATGAATAAATTATGTAAACGAAAATCAAACAAGAAAATAGGAACAGCCGACTAGATGGCTGAGCTAAAGCATAGAAGTAGCTACGCTAGTATTTAACCGCACCCTATGATACTAATGTTGAAATTTTAGTTTATATTCAAAGGCAATTATACGTAACAACAAATTCCAGGATTTTATGATTCACTCAAGAGCACCCTTCTATTTTTACGTGAATATTTTATCACATTTTCCGCGAAAAATTTTAATTATCGAAGAATTGCCAGTTTAACTCACTGCCTCATACATTTAAATAAAAAATATCTCGTGGGGTGCGCGCATCACACAACTTTCACTTTCCGCCCTCTTAGCAGAAGTAAGTATTTTCAGACAAAGGAAAAATGAAAGTAAAAATTATAATTATTATTTTATTGCGGGTATTTTTATTTGTGTGAGTATTTATATATATACAAATTTTAATGTTTATATCGGTTTAATCTATACAATTTAATATTAAATAATACGTGCAATTACATTTATGAAAACCGCGTATTTATATTTATATAAATAGTCGGAATAGGTATTATATTAAGCTCATGTTACGTATGGAAGCCTATTATAATCTTTCGGGAGAGCTCGGGTGCGGTCAATTACAACTATTCTCCGTTACGAGTTTTTATTTCTCCTTTAGTTAATTATCAAATTTTTTCATATTTTATATTTAACTATCTTTTATATTAGAAATTAATGTGAGATAGTCAATTGTTTCAAATAAAAGCAATGTAAGCTACTTTAGAGGAAGCTAATATTGAAAACTAGCCATTTAAGACCTGTAAGAGAACATCAATCAGAATAAAAACACATTTTATTTAAAACTGCTTAATTTTACACTGATATAATGAATTTGATCAAAGTGCCATGATATAAAGTGCCACTTCTGGTCAGTCGATTTTGACGAAAAAATTACCGTAACATCCCTAGCATATAAAAACCTTAAATATGCAATTTCACTTTCGTTCGACTTTTCGTTTGGAGCTAGGCTGTTAACATACACACACGCAGACCATTTTGAATTGAATTGGTTATTTGGAATCAGGGGACCCTAAAAACGTGTATTTCCGTTGAAAACTGAGATTCGAAAATTTTCACGATCGCAATACTTTCCTTTACAATATATTTCATACATAGGCAAGTGAAAGTAATAAAAATATATAATATATACATTTGCTTCATTAAAATATTTTGAAATATACCCATAACAAAAAAACAAAGAAACAAACAAACTAATATATAAACATATAAATAAATTTATTTCAATAAGTATTATTATTATTGTTCGTTTAACAATAAATATGTGGGTTACGTTAAGTATCGCTCATAACTTTTTTAAACAATATAAAATCCCAAGAATTTTTTAGGGGGGTCCATTGCCTCCCCCCTCCAACCAGAATGAAATCTGCGCCAATCTAGGAACAGGCCCCCCTCCGAATATTACAAAATGCGCATAATAAGAATGATGTTGGGAACCGAAATAAATCGAACAAATTTTAAAACCAAACTCGAAAAACCCAAGTTATTTCGTATTTCTTGGTTTTCATACGCAATCTTGAAGATGAGCCAGCATCGACAATTTGTTGAGCTGTTTAATCGGAAATTTATGCAGAACACAACGTGACTTATTTCACACAAAGTTTTACCTGTTTAAAATAGTTCTTGCATAATAGCTAATAACCAGACGTCTGTAGGTAAGATAAATGGTGGCCAATCAAAACTGGAGATTTTTCAGTTATTGATGTCGAATGAGTAACTAATATTAAAAATTTGTTCCAGGATTATATTCAATATCGACCGTGGAAACACGACGTTTACCAACTGTACCTTGATTGTAGTGTTGCCAAAAATCGGTCTTGGTCTTGCACCTTGCAAAACCAAGACCAAGGCCGCTCAACTGTTGCAAGGGCAAGACCAAGACTGGTAAAAAAAATCGATTTTTCGAATAAAAATTAAGGCAAACTAGTTAATAATACTTGACAATCTTAGTTACTATATGTAACCAATTGGTATAACGAATATACTTATGCATTTAATTCCTTTAATTTTTCATTGGGGCTTAGTTAGGTTTCTCCTATCTAAAAAATTATAGTAATATCTCCATAGTAATAAGCTAATAAGTAACTGCAAGACTTTTGCGCAAGACCAAGACTGGGTTTGCTAGACCAAGACTCGTCTCGGTCTCGCCTTTGGGAAACACTAACCTTGATCCACATGTCATTTGGATAATACTGACTCATTTTACACTAGCCCAAAGTTTTACCATCATAATCTATAGTATTATGTAACCACGAAATTGAACGTCTGCCATGCACTAAAACACTAGCTGTCCCGCAGTGCTCTGAAATCTAGCGGAACAAATATCTGGATAATGGTATAGATAATGAAATATTTTTCTTTCATCCAAAATAATACTATTATATCGTTCCTATATTATTTCTAACTATCTAAAAATAATTTTTTATTGGTAACAGACGGAGACAGGTAAGATTTGATGCAGAAAAACTTGGTCCAAGAGCTTTCGAAACGTTTTTTCCAGGGTTTGTATCTCAAAAATCTTTAGTTGAAAATCATTCAGTGATTTTTTTGTTTTGGCTGACCCCTAATAGAAACTTGGAACAGTTAATTGCCAAAGTATATTGGTTCAATAAATTCTTAACATATATCAACTAAAATTGTCTAGTGTTAGTAACTATTTTGTGTTAATTTTTAGAGCAAGTGCAAGACTGCGATTATGGGCAACACTAGTTATAGCACCAAATTTATGATGGTAAAACTTAGGTCTGGTGTAAAATAAGTCAGTGTTATCTAAGCCACTTCGAGGTCAAGGTGACGTTTGTAAACATTCTGTTTCTACGGTCTATTTCGGACATAATTCTACAACAAATTTATAATAATAAAAACACTCCTTTTGATCACAACATTTCTACTTTATTTTCATTTTTTACACCGACGTTTCAGCCCTTAGGCAATTTTCAACGGATGAAACCTTCAACAAATAAAAAAATCATCACAGCTTAATTATACTTTTCCATTAATAATTATCATTTTATAATTATAACCTCATACTTATAAAAATAGAGAGGGCCAAAGGGCGAGGCAAAAGGACTATTATGGTTGTAATTACATTAAAGGACTATCAGAAGATATAAGGAAGCCCTTTAATAATTATGATGTGGGAGATTATGCCATAA